GGGGGGGGTGTTTGACGCGAAACGCGCAGTGGTTGCCCAGCGCTCCCTCTCTCGCTGCTCCTTTGCTCCCTGGAACTCACTCATTTTTGGATTTCGTCATCTTTTCAAAAAATCAATAAAAATATTCTGGAGGCTCCGGGGGTCTCCTGCTTGGTCCCATTCGGTTCCCCAGACTCTGCTCCATCATTCCCGACAATTGGAAAAATTGCCCGAGGGGGTCCCTGCGGCCCAGGCGCCGCTAATGGGGGGGTGGGTGGGACGAGGTGGGGAAGCGAGGGGAGGAGGAAGCGCGCCGCAGCCTGGGCAGCTGGAGTCGGAGCAGGGGGGGGTGGTTTCAAAAAATAATTAAAAATCGAGGAAATAATCTATAAGAGCCCTTTTGGCCTGAAAACCCCAAGGAGGATCCAGGCTTTCCGAAACGGAGGTTTCGGGTGCCGGAAAGGTCTGTACCCCGTCCCCTGGGGCTCAGGATCCCCGGGGGAACTTGAAGGGGTGAGAGCGGCGGCGGCGGCGGGAGTGTCGGGCTGCGGCCCACAAGGGCAGAAACTAGGGATCGTGGGGGCGAGCAGGGGAAAAGGACGGGGGCCAGAGTGTCTTTGGGATGAGGCACAGGGGGAATCTGACCTCTGGTTTAGGGGTGCCCCGATATCCTACCCCCCACACCTCCCCCCTTCCTACCCCACCCAACTCTCGGCACCGAGGAAGCTGGAAAGGCAAACTGTAAGTAACCTTCGTGAGGCGGGGGTCGGGGCGTGGGCATTATTATAAGTGGGTGGCCCAGATAATGGGGTGCAGGGGGCGCCGGCGACTTCCCCAGCCTCCCCAACCGGAGTTTGCAAAGCAACATGGCGAAACCCCGGCAGGTCCAGAGCTGTGCATACGTGGGCACACGGCTTGCTTGGCAAAGATTTGTAGCAAGAGTGTAAAAGTAACTCTTGGGTTCCCCTAAAACACATGTTTCTTCAATGCGACTTCCGGGGCTTCTGAATGCCCCCGTTTCTGTCCTCCCGCCTCCTCGCCCTCGCTTACCCCCCTACCCCCATTAAGTGCCAACGCGGTGTCGCGACCACATGAGGGGACTTTGGCGTTTGGGGGGCTGCTTTTTATGGTGGGTTCTGATGTTGAACCCCCTACTGCCTTCTTCGCCGCACGGAAAGCAGTCGCGGCTTTGCAAGAGGCAGGTTGGGATGGGGGTGGGAAGAGGAAGCCACAGGCAGGCACACGCGCGCGCGGGATGCTCCCTCACCCCCGCCCCAGGACAGCCTCGTTTTTCCCAGATTCCCCCCCTCCCCCTCCCCCGTGTTAATCTTGCAACCAGCCAGGAATGGAGGCGAAGCCACGCGTCCCGCCAATGGTCTGGGGGGGGGGGGCACCTCGTGTCCAGAACTGGAGAGAGGTCGGTGCAGAGGCTACGGGGTCCCAGTTTTAGGGTCCCTGGGTGGGGGCTGCGTGCCGGGGTTGGGGTACGGTTCCTAGAAAGCGTGGCCCTCAGTCTTACCTCCAGCATCCAGGTGGCCACCATCCTGCGCATGTAGGGCTGGATGTCCTTCTGCACACACTTGAAGTAGGAGCACTGCGGGAGGTAGCGCTCCTCGATGGTCAGCAGGTTCTGCAAAATGCGGTCGTCGTAGAGCAGGTTGGGGTCCGGAACGGCCCTGCGGACAGGGTCCACCTCGCCGCACAGCAGCTCCATGGCAAGCCGGGCGCGTGCTCGATCCCTCGCTCACGTCCGACTGAAAAAGTTTTTTCTCGCTTTTGGTGGAGGAGGGAGGGGCGGGGGGTGTCCCCGTACCTCCTTACTTTGGCTAAGCGGGGGGTTTTCGGGAGAAAGTTCGAGGCCGAGAGAGAAGGTGGAGGAGAAGAGAGGAAAGGGATGGGCGCCCTGGGGGCTGACGACCTCGCGCCTGCCCACCCCTTCAAATTTGTCTCCTTCTCCCCAGCTCGCTCTCCTCTCTGCACTCGGAGCAGTGACGCAAGCTGGCTGGGCAGTTAGCTCTCCTCCCTCTAGCTGAGCTCCCCTCTCGGGTTCCTCCTCCCCTTTCCTCCCCTCTCGGCCCTCCTCCTCCTCCTCCCTCCCTCCCTCCCTCCCTCCCTCCCTCGTTAATAAGGAGAACAGCAGCTGGCCCGACCTAACTTCAAACGCGGTCCCCCGCCCCCCGCCCCCACCTCTCCAGAGCTCTCCCGGGCCCTCTCCCCCTCATCCAGCCCCGCATGCCAAGGGCCCCGGAGAGGGGAACCCAAAAAGGATAAAAAAAAGAAAAAGACTTGATCTCTCTGTAAGGCCTCCAATGTCGAACATTCTATAGGTGTGTCAGACCGAAATACATTGGTTCCTCCAACTCGGGCCTCCTTAACCCCGAGCCAACATAACCCTGACCCTGTGTTCAAGATGAAGGACTGGCCCTAGAGTACTTGGAGATGGGGGTAGGCGCAGACGATTCCGAATTGACCTTGTAAGTGAACAATAGGAGTGATTTTGGAAAATGGCAACCACGCATACCTAGAGATAAAGGTTATGTATGGAGAATGGAGTTGGGAGTTAATGTTCCTGGTCATTTCGAAGCAATTTCAAAGCCTCAAAGCTTGATGAAAGGACAAGAAAAGTTCGCCCCCACCCCACCCGCCCCCAGATGTATATGTGGAGGAAGAGAAGGAAGAGGTGGGCATTGGAGGGAGGGGGGCTATTTCTTGGACGTGATAGAATGTGACCCTTCTGTTCTTGGGGCACTTTAGGAGTCTTGGGCGGGCGGTAGGGGTGGGTGGGTGGTGGTGTGTGTGTGCGCGCGCGCGCGCGCGCGGTTAACGGCCCGGGGCTGCTGCAAAGGGGGGGGAGGGGAGGGCTACCAGCGGCTCCTCTGCGGCTGGCGGCCACGCAGGAAAACCCGCTTCCTCGCCCCTGCATCTGCTGACAAGCCGCCCGAGGTGTCTGCGCCGAGCATGGCCACACTGATACAGCTTTCTAGGAAATGGCCCGGGGGGGGGGGACAAGGGGGGGTTTGACTCCCCCTCTCTCCCCGTGCACAAACACCACCACCTCTTCCTTTTCTCGGGGCCCCAAGATTTCCCCCCTCGGTCCTTGTGCATCCTCGCCGCTCCCTCTGGGCTCACGGCGCACCCGCTAGCCAGGGCTTTCTCCCGAGGAGCAGGCTTGCGGTGCAGGCGCTGCTAGAGCAGCCGGCGCTGACACGTGCTCAAACGCATCCTCGGGTCAAGGCTGTTTCTACAGAAGACTAGCAAGCGTTTCCTATCGCCTTCTTTCTTTCCGAGGTCCCCCACCCTGCACGTTAGTGCTTTTCACTCCGGGAGGAAGGGGAGTGAACCCGGCGCCCCCAAACTGTCGGCTGCCAAGCTGGCTGGCACGTGCACCGAACTTGGCGCGATTTAGGGCTCTCTGGACACACCGAGGTGGACCGTAGACCTCATTCCCTGGGAATGGGGGCCCGGACAGGGGCAGGGAGAACGGGGCGGGTGGGGGGGGG